GTACTTACATAGGGACTATGAAGGGCACTTCCAAAAACTTCAATAAAAGCACCTGTGGTCTGTAGAGAGGAGTTAAGGGGAAGCCCCTCCAACTGAGTTGGTGTAAAATAAGAGCCAGTGGACACCGTGGTCTCTCCTGAGTCCGTGCACCAATTTTGGGTACATATAATTTCTCCTCATTACCTAATGAAAAGAAAATGCTACATGATGGGCACACTCCAAAGGTGGCTGGGATTATTATTTTCGGGATCTGTTTCCTCACTTATTTGTGCGGCAAGCCCAACCGCCTTGTTAACTCATTGCCTTTGCTCTCTCTGTGAAACCCATTGCAGGACGGTGGTGTTGGTTATTCCTTTGAGGCCTCATCCCAAGTGCAAAAGCAGACACCATTATTACTGGGATTAATAAACTTCAGAACAGAGAAGGTAATGAATTTTGAAAATCAGAAATGAAAAAGTAATAGGCCATGTCATCTTGCTTTTGGTTTTATGTGAGCGATATTAGGCACTTGTAAAGTCCTCTTATATTCCCAAATTCTCACCCTACTGTTATCGTCCTGTAGCCTCTTCACTACCTTCCCCTTGCTTGCTCTCTACACCCTTCCTTGTGAGAAAGACCAGGAGGTATATCTCTCATTTAAAATATTAAAAGTGAGCCCCAGAAGAAATGTAAATTATTCAAGGCCAACAGCTCTTTAGCTATTTAGTGGAGGCAACATAGTCAGATATGTTGGTTCTTAATCAAGGACTTATACTATTAAACTGGCCTAGGGAACCTACTGTCTGCAGGACTTGGGTTCACTTTCATCTTATGTGTGGGTCAAGGACAAAGGGATAGCTCCTCATCTGACTTCAGTATCTTTTTGTGAAAATCCAACATGGCTTTAAGAGTATTTCAGATTGTATCACAAAGTGGTTTCCTTCCTTCCTTCCGTTCTTCCATTATTAACTACCTCTGCCAACCACTGGGGAAGGTGCTTAAGATACAAAATATGAGCACAATAGTATCACCGCCCTTCTTATAATCTGAAAGGGGAAAAAGTAGGAATAAATTAGTGCAGCAAAGTTCTGTCTCCTGGAATTAGAACACATGTATCCTCTAAAAGATAAATTCTTTAAGAGTAGCTAACTCATTTAAAAGGCTTACGAATATGGGCCGGCCTGGTGGCACACTGGAGAGTGCGCCGCTTGGGAGTGCAGCGGCGCTCCCGCCGAGGGTTTGGATCCCATGTGGAGACCGGTTCCCGCTCACTGGCTGAGCGCGGTGTGGGCGCAACACCAAGGGTTGCGATCCCGTTACCGGTCAGTAAAAAAGACAAAAAGGAAAAAAAAATAAAATAAAAAATAAAAAATATGGGCCGGCCCGGTGGTGCACTGCGCTAGTGCGCCGCAAATAAATAAATAAATAAATAAATAAATAAATAAATAAATAAATAAATAAATAAATAAATAAATAAATAAATAAATAAATAAATAAATAAATAAATAAATAAATAAATAAATAAATAAATAAATAAATAAATAAATAAATAAATAAATAAATAAATAAATAAATAAATAAATAAATAAATAAATAAATAAATAAATAAATAAATAAATAAATAAATAAATAAATAAATAAATAAATAAATAAATAAATAAATAAATAAATAAATAAATAAATAAATAAATAAATAAATAAATAAATAAATAAATAAATAAATAAATAAATAAATAAATAAATAAATAAATAAATAAATAAATAAATAAATAAATAAATAAATAAATAAATAAATAAATAAATAAAATAAATAAATAAAAAATAAAAAATAAAAGGCTTATGAATAATTGGAACGCCTTAGTTAAATTTCTTTGCTGCTTTGTATCACCAGTCATTCTATACTCAGTTTAAGACATGGGCTAATTTGGGATCCTACTCAATCATTTGATTTGGTCAGTTAAAATGGAATTGGGAAGGGGGGAAAAGATATAATCCTGACCTCAGGATTCCTGGTGGATGTCATCCATTTTCTGCAGTTGGAAGGTGGCATAGGCATTGGCATGTGGTGGCTGATCCCCAGGCTGTGAGCTTCTCTGAGCAGATGCCCTGAGGAGACTCCAGTGTTGAATAGAAAGGTGACCTGTTGACAGGAATGGACAGATGAGTTTATCATTTTTCATTCAGCAAGTAAATATCCTTAGAAAAGAGATTCCTCACTAGCATATGTTACCACTGTTAATTGGAAAAACACAGCTGTAGAGGCAGTCATAGAAATACTTATTCCTGGGGTAACTGCAGAGTTATTTATCATTCCGCCCATACTCTTTATAGTAGCTGACTTGGCTCCTCAATAGTAGTTTTCAAACCCATCCCCCTTAGAGTCCTAAAGTTTTCTGAGAAGCCTGGGCTCTAGAGAGGGAATAAGGGAGGAGCCCAGTGGGAGGCCCCAATCCTCCATCTTCGTTTCCATCAGAGCAGCTTCATCTTTTGTGTTTTCTGAGACGATCGGCATTTGGTGACTGTGCCATCTGTCCCGTGTGGTTCCAGTCCCGTCAGAGGATGGTATGAAATACTGGTGATGGTCACTGTGCTGACAGTATGGAGACAGAAGTCATAGCTGCTGGGTGAAGTGTCCTCACACCAGCATATCTATCAGTAAGCATGGAAGGAGATCAGCAAAGTTCTTCTTATGTGGGAGAAAACGTATTAGAAATTGAGAAACTCCAACTTCATTTTGTAAATAAAACAAACTGCGTGGATCCCATCTGGAAAGGGTGGGTGAAAAATCACCACTGATCTACCTATGTAAAATAAAGAAGCTGAACATTCCAATGTCATTATTCTCTCCCTTGAAAAAAAGTAATACTTGATGTACTGAAATAATGTAGGGGCTAGACATTCTTTTATTGGTTGTATCTTCTGTTAATTCTCAGAATACCTGCGTGGCAAAGGCTACCTAGCTATTCTTCAAACCCATTTCCTTTTCTTCCTGGGCACAGAGCTAGATTGTATTTTCCAGGTAATCCTGCAGCCCCAGGACTGTGTTTTGGTAATCCCACAGCCCCAGGACTGTGTCTGGGCCAACGAAATGTGAGTGGAAGTGGTGTGTACCACTTCCAAGCCTGGCTCATCAAAAGTTCCCATGCAAAATCCTCTGTGATTTTTCTACTTCTGCTGGGTTGGTGGAGAGGATCACCTTTCTTGCTGAAGAAGGTGGAGCATCCAGGAGGAAGGATATTGGGTCCCTGAGTCAGTCCTGGGAGGAGGACCCTGATCGTGAACACGTGAACTTTGTGTAAACAGGAAATACATTTCTATTGTGCTTGTGCCATTATGCATTTTGGGGTTTGTTTGTCCTAGCACCTAGCATCACCTACCAGAGCTTGTCATCCTAATTTTGTCATAATTAGGAAATAGGAACTTTATTCTTATAATTCCACTTAAAAATTTCATAAGAAACAGAAATTCTCAACTGAAGGGCTGGAAACTTCCCATAGCAGATGATGATGTATGGACAGATGATCAAAGATCATCTACTGGTAAGGTTGAGTCAGGCCAGACTGGCAAAGACTTTCTTATTCTCACCTCCTAGCAAGAAGTTGCTGGTATTAGTGTGGGTGCTGCTTAAGGCTTCCCAATAAGAGAATCAGGGACACCCACACGGTATAGGGAGACAGCACAGTGCAATGATTCCGAGAACCAGCTCTGGAGTCAGACTGCAAATGTTTGCATCCTGACTCTGCAGTATACTGTGTGGCTTTGAGCAAATCCCTTATCTTCTCTGTGCCTTGGTTTCTTCTCTTTAAAATGTGGTAATAATAATACTTATCTCATAGATTGTTGTGAGGATTAAATGATATACTCTGTAAGTGCTTAGAACAGTATTACATAATTTTTCAAAAGAAAATTTACTATCATTTATTACTGATTCAAAGACACTCATTCTTCTTTAGTTTTTCTGCTTAGATCCCAACGCATATTCCTGCAAATAGGTACAATAACTGGGTCCAGATGCCCATCATTCCTTCTATACATGTTTGTTGAGCGTCTTTTATATGCTAGGAACTACACAAATGATGATATAAAGACAGAAAATAAAGAGCTCACAGATTAGTGAGAGAGACAGAGAAGCAAACAAGTATTTTTGATGAAGCATGAGAGCTCTTGATTTTGTATATCAAAGTTGTTAGTTCTCTGTACAGCAACTGGGGAGACCAGGGACACAGATTTCTTTAGGACTCAGGGTCCTGCGAATTGTGGAATGGGGGCTAGAATAATTTGCAGCCAGTAATGCCACCGGTTCCTGCCCAGAACGTGAACCAACCTTACCCTGTGAAAATGCAGTACTTTGGGGGTCAGGACCCAAGCAGAGGGCAAGCTTGTAAAGAAGAGCACTGTGTTACACTAAGAACAAATAACTAATCACACAGCAATTCCTCCAGTATACAAACAAAGACACTTGAGATGAACAAAACCCTACAGAAACATGTACCCCCAAGTGCACACCAAGGTATCCATAAGCACACCCAGCATACAAAAAGTCATACAAATGTCTATTGTGTTCGACATGTGATCAATCACCACTGGAATTTCCATCAGCTTGTTCACACTGTAACATGGATGTTTGTATAGTAGGTTATACTTTCGTATATATTGCTTGTCATCGTGAAGTCAAAGTCCATGTCCCACATAAACCTATTAGAACTCCCAATCATGAAAGCCTGTCTTCCCCAAGCCCTGCCTCTTCGTATTAATTTTGGCTTAATAAAGTCTTCTGGCGCTATGATTATAGAACAGTTGGTTTCTGGCTAAAAGCAAAACAGAAAACTGCCTGTTTTAGTCATGTAAGGTGATGTGGAGAGAACTTGCTTCTGAGAAATTCAAGATCTAGCTCTTTACAACGGGAGGTCATAGCCGACTGGGACAGCGGCGCCACCTGCAGGGCTGAGGGAGAAAAACACAGGGAAACACTAGAGCCAACCTTGCTTTACAGGACAGGCATATTAAGGAAAAGCAGGGCTGGCTGGTTGGCTCAGTTGGTTAGAGCGTGGTGCTGATAACACCAGGGTCCAGGTCAATCCCTGTACTGGCCAGCTGCCAAAAAAAAAAAAAAAAGGTTAAGAAAACACAGTCCCTATGAGATAGAAAGTAAAGAACTTTGCAGGATCCCTTGGAGATAAATATGCACAAGAAGGCATCGTTGCAAGAGTTCTGACAAATTCTGTTTATTCCTGTCTTTTGGAGTTTTCAAAATGTTTTACATTGTATTTTCGTTTATATTTTTATTTTTCAGAGCTAATGTCCCCCAGGGTACTTGCCACTTACTGGGACCTGCTGGCTGCCTCCATAGACAGTAATGCCGTGCAAGGCATACTTGCTTCCATTGCCTCCCCTGTTAATATGAGTCAGGGAAGGACATTACACCCTGAACCAAGGTCGTCACACCACTTTGGTCTCTGTCCTTTTTTTTTTTTTTTTTTTTTAGGGGATCCTAACCCTTGACCTCGGTGTTATCACTCTAATCAAGTGACCTAAACATCTCTGTCCTTTCTAGAAGACCTAAATATCTATCCCACCTGCACCCACCTAGTCCTGCAGAAACTACAGTGCCAATCTAGAATTAAAGTAACACTGACAGCGAGGATTATCAAACAGTAGTTTTTCAATAAGCCATGAAAAATAACTCTGTCCAAAATAAAGTCTACCAAAATTGTTCTGTTTAAATGTATACTTCCCATAAAGGTATTACATTTACGCTTTGACAGAACTAATTTCAAATACTCTGTGTGCCCTAGCATCAAGATCAGGTTTCTCCTAAACTTTTCTGTGGAAAATGTGTTCAGCAAATGTATCCGCTGTTGCTGTAATAGTTTTGTTTATCAGAGCTTTACAGGGACAAATTAGGTTTTATTTGCCAATTTATGCATTTTGCCAGTACCTATCTATAGAGCAGCTGCTACTGTGCCAGGTACAAGGGACATGGCAGATGGAGAAGATGCTTTTCAGAGTTTCACCCCAAGGAAAGCCCCACACTTCTTTGGCTGAAGCTCCCCAGAGATGAGAGGAAGTGATGTTTCTTGAAGCATCCTACTGCAGGATCACTGGCAGATTTGGAAACATTAGATGCAACCCTTGTGTCTAGAGCACTTACCATCAAGTGGAGGAGGGCAGGTGCCAAAACGGGCACACATTATAAAATCCAAAGCCACCCTCTAGAAGAACCATGACACAGGGCAAAGTGGGGAGACTCTTAGCTGGAGCTGCTGTCACAAAATACCATCAGCTGGTGGCTTCAGCAACAGACATTTATTTCTTACAGTTCTGGAGGCTAGAAGTCCAAGATCAAGATACTGGTCATTCAGTTTGTGGTGAAGGCTCTCTTCCTGGCTTGCAGATGGCTGCCTTCTCACTGTGTCCTTACACTGTGGACAGAAAGAGGCCTCTCGTGTCTCTTATAAGGACATTAATCCCATCATGGGGCCCCATCCTCATGACATCATCTAACCCTCATCACCTCCCAAAGGCCCCACCTCCTAATACTATCACATTGGGGATTACGGTTTCAACATATGAATTTGGGGGGACAGAAACATTTATAACAGAAGGCAAGGCTCAGCTGCAGGATTATTTGGTTGAGAGGACAGAATCTAATATCTCCCCCTACTACACTGCTGTAGATTGGATGGCCCCCCTCATTGAAGCTTAAATCCCCACTGTAACTGGTGAGGGTGGGAAATCTCATTATGGTAATTGAACGGTGGGGCCTTGAAGAGGTGGTTAGATTGTAGGACCATGCCATAGTGAATGCATTAATAATGGTGGTCAGGGGTGTGGTTCTGGGGTTTTAAAAGAACAGCACATGAGAGGTTAGTCTCTCTCTGCTCTGCCATTTTTCACAGTGCAGTACCCTGCATCGCTGTTGCCACCACCAAGCCTTCAACAAATGTGTTCCCTGGACTTTTAACTTCCCAACCTGTAAGCTGTAAGCAATAAATTTTGTTTTCTTATACATTACCCAGTTCCAGGTATTTTGTTATAAGCAACAGAAAGGGACTAATACATATACATACACCTCTTTACTGAAGGGAAGACTAAAGCAAAGACTGGGAGGGCCACTGAGCTTAGAAGCAGCAGGCTCATTGTCAATTTCACACCTGGAGGAGTTTCAGAAACCACTCTCTATGCAAGGAGGAAAGCACAAATGTGTGAAAAATGCATTTCCCTGTGGAAAAGGTCCTTTTGACATTCCTGGAGTCATCGTGCCTATCTCAGATCTCCTTAGGGCTTCTGCTAAGTGGGTGCATCTTTTAAGAAATCAAACTTGTGGAGAACACGTAAGTTTATTGTGGGTCTCATTTTGGCTTTGGGGTTTCCATGAGTTGCCTTTACCCAGAGGTTGGTCAAAGCGTGGGATTAGGGTTAGGTTGGTCAAAGTGTGGGATTAGGTTAACTTTGCTTCCAGGAATTCCAGGGGTAGCCATTGCTACCTAGCTTTTTAGAGCAATGACATCTATGGCCTGGATGCTCTGTGTTGGGCCAGCAGATAGTTGTACACCTGCTACTTGTTGGTAAAAACAACAACAAAAATAAACAGGGAGGAAACACAGACTTGGATCAACATTTGTAGAAATCCAGGTAGGGAGAAAGGAAGAAAGGATGGTTGGACCATGGTCATGCTTGTCAGTCCTTCAGTTACAGATGTTTATTAGGATTGGGCAAGACCTGGGAAAGGTCAGCTGGCCGCATAAGCAGGCCTCAAGGAGTGGCTTTACCTGGATGGATTCCCCAGGTCCACCGTCTGGGCCTCAGCTGGTTTGCCTACAGCTGGATCTTTCTGTCGAAACAGAACCCCATTAATCAACAGAGACAGAATGCCATCTTAGTATTTCATAATGAAATATATAATTATCAAGTGGGCTCGTGTTTGCTAAGCAATGTGGTGTTTCCCTTTAGGCAAAAATACTTGAAAAGGCAAACTTTCTTCAGAAGACTGCTTGGATGGATGGGATCAGAGCACAAGGGGGGAGAGGGTTGTGTCAGTGGCTAGTCAACAAGCTACAACAGAGAGTGAACGCCGCACCTCCATTGCAGGCACAAGCTGCCATGGCCAGGGTCATGGGCAGGAGCCAAGACTCTCAGCGCTGGGGCGTACTGCTGACTGTGGAGATGGTCACACTTTCCGACCTTCTTTTCTATGCTCCCTTGATGTTCCCCCCTAACCTCCCCCTCGCACAGTCATGTTCTCTCTTTAGGCCATGAATGCAGACAATCCTCCACCTTCATTCACAGCATAGTCCCCAAAACATGCACCAATGCACAAAAGTCTCACAATAAACACGCGTGTTTCTATCCCAGGGAGGTTTAAAAATGTATTTGTGTTTATATTATTGGGTATATAAAAATAGATATAAAATCCCTAATTGTCCCTAGTCATTTAGTTACAGCTTTTGATGAGATATCTCCAGCATTCCATACAGTTCTTTGATTTTTGTTCTTTTGTAACTAAATCCAAACAGCTGCCTTGCTAGAGTGCAGTAAGCATCCACTTGGCTGCTTTTGCTCCATTTGGTGAGTTCCATCTTTGTCTCATGTCAGTTGCATTGCTATTGTGAGGTCTTTGCTTCATATCACTAGTTGCTTCCGTTGCAGTTTTCATTTTCCACTTATTTTTATAAATGAGAAAATGCCCCATATATTCAAACAATGGCACAAACACTGCTCTGCAGACAAATACTGCTGTTCTACGCAAACTTAACTTTTGCTAGAAGTCACGACCACAATGCACAGCTCAGATTACTTGTGTGGAAATCCAACTTTTGCAGAAAAAAAGCTATTATCACCATGTGATATCCCATAGTATGCTGTATTTTTTAAAGTTATATGTACAAAAGTTAGCAATGTTTATACTCTTGATCAGAGTATACATGGATCTTGGTGGGAGGGGGTTGGCATGGCATTTTGCTTATTTTAATAAATTCAGTATAGTTATTGAATGTGTGCTTCATGTCAGATACTGGGCTAAGGATCTGTTTTCAAGGTTTAGGTGGGGGTAGAGTGAGAGGAGTGCCCCCTGTTGCCCTTCTTTATGTACTTACAAATCACCTCTTTGAAGTAGCTTTCAAATCCCTTTAGACCAGGGATTCTCAGTCTTGGCACTGTTCATATTTTGGGCTGGATAATTCTTTGTTGTAGAGGATGTCCTGTGTATTGTAGAATGTTTAGCAGCATCCCTGGCTTCTACCCACTAAATGCCACTAGCACACTGCTCCCCCTCCCCCCCCAAATTACAAAATAAAAACTGTGTCCAGTCTTTGCCACTTGTCCCTAGGGGTCAAAATCACCCCCAGTTGAGCACCATTGCATTAGATCCTCTAACTTTCTTGACTTTGCCAGAAAAGTTTACATTGGACCTACCTGCTGTTCCATGTAAGAGTTTTACTTTTTGAGCCAATTTGTTCCAGAAGCCTCAGAGCTCAGGGAGACAGAAGGGCTATAGGAGAGAGCTCACACTTGGTTCATGACAATGAACACGTGTGGCTTAATGAGAACTCATCACACTCCCATTGTGCACAACCAGCCCCTGCCCCTCCCGTGCCTCCTCCCCATTTCAGATGGGGCCATGCCTGCACCATGTCAATCTGAACAGTTCAGCTGAACTATGGGATCCTGCAGACAGGGTGCCTGGAAAATGGCTGAATTTTTTTTTTTAAACTAAATTTCTGGAATTGAACTGGTATGTTGGCCCAGTGCACACTTAGCATGGTGTGCATGGCAATCAGGACTGGATTAGAAGCCAGGCTGCTACCATCAACCACAACCCACCTACAGGGATTCTCTTATTGGAACAAGGAGAGCAAAGGATGAAGAAAAGAGTGGAGCAGCAGTGATCTTCAGTGCCTTCCCGACAGCAGATTCCATAAACAGTGCTTCTGGCCATACAAGTCAGGGAATACATGCACTGGGAACACACTGTGATATTTTCTCATTCTAAATGGATTGGCCATTAATTTAGAAATAGTCCAGTGACAATGTGCATTTCATAGTCTTTTAATACACTTTATTTAAATTATAGTTTAGGAGACATAGTATCTTT